GCATGATCTAAAAGCAATTTTTTAAAAAAGGAACAGTTGCAAAGCGCTTCATGTTTTACAAAACCCTTCTGTACACCCATCTTGCAGAATCATTGCAGCCCCCAAGTAACAGATATAAATTGAAGCTGAGGAAGACGGAGTGAGAGAGAGTGGCTGAGCCGGGCCTGGGCCAGGTCTTCTGGCTCCAAGGACAGAGTAAAGTATAAAAATGTCCCTATTGTTACAGCAAGTCAGTCCAGGCCCATCAAAGGCAGAGATGTCCGATTTCTGCTCATTGTTATTGGTTTATTTTAGCTTTGTGTGCATTCATTTTACATTCCTTCCAAAGAGCAGATTTTTTTACTGTGGTTAAGGAGGGACTTTGTCCAATACTAGGAGTTCATTGGAATGACAGTAAGGGCTTCTGAGCTGCCGAGCAATTTTAAGGAACAAAGAAAATGAAGAAGAGATAAGCAGACATTGCCAAGTTTATGCTTCGGCCAAGGGCTGGATGTAGATGCAGACCAAGGCCATCATGGCAAATACCTTCGTCAGAAGATGCTCTCTGAACCGGTTTCTTATTTTAAGTAAAAGTGAACAAAGTGTAATTCCAGTGTGGTAAGAACGTGGGCGGTTTCACTGAGTTCATTATTAAAATCTGAGCTATATACCAATTGCATTATTTGTACTATATTTTTTCAGGACAGTTGATGTTTAGAGTTTTAAATTCAACATCAAAAAAATCTAAATGATAAAAAAAAAACTTGTCCCTCTTGGTTGCTTTGTAGAATGCGGAAGAGCTTACTGCTGCAGAGCAAATATATTTTGGAATGCACTGCATCTTGAGGCTACAATTAGTTCTTTTCTCGGTCTGAAAGAGGAAAGGGGTCAGGGGCCCTGCAGAACAGGCACTTAGCAGCAGCTGACGCAGGCCGGGTGCCCAACACCCACCCCGGAGAGATGGCGAACTCTTGCCCCCAGAGCCCAAGAGAGAGAGAGAGAGAGAGAGAGACTAAAAGAACATTTGTGCCAGAATTATCATTTGCTCACTCTCTAATTTGCTTTTACTTTCATGAGCTCAAACATTTTTTTCCCCCAAATATCAGACCTATTATTGTCAACATCCCCTTGGGGAATGTAGGTAGTTACTGAAGTGTGTTGTAAAGCTTCTCAAGTGTGAATGAAGAAAATCTGCACTTACCTCAAATGCTAAGCACTCTGCGAATACAGCTCCTCCCTTTTGTGAATAGTTGCTGAGATAAGAAAAATCATATGGGACTATTAACTGAAACCCCAGAGTAATGGAGTGATTAGGATTTTCTTTTTCTTTGTTTCCAGTTTTATTGAGAAATAATCAACACATGTCACTGTGTAAGTTTCAGATGTATAACATGATGGTTAGATTCACACGTATTGTGAAATGAGTAGCAGCACAAGTTCAGTTAGCATCCGTCATTCCTTTTCCCAGGGTTATCCACTGGGCTTGGCGAAATGGCTATGAAAACAAATTAGGAAAAGAACCCTTCTTGGTTTCAACAGACTAAGAGAGAATGTCTAAAATAGCAAGCGTCCCAAGGCACATATCTGTCATTACCATCAAATCTGAATACATTTCAGGACATCCTCCGTGTACTGCATCCACACAGTGCACACTCCCTGCCCCTTGAGCCCCCCGAGCTGTGGTATGCAGGTTCTGGCTTAGCTCAGTTGCACGCTGCGAGCCTGATGGCACAGAGCGGTCGGTGTGACACCTCCCCCTGCATAGCTCTCATACCTACCGACGACCCCAAGACGGTGGTTCGTGGACACACAGAAAGCCTACAGTGCATTGCCCCAGCCTTGGGGCCCTCTGCATTCCTCAGAGTCAACTGAAATCTGGAGGCACTGAGTCACCTCTGACAGTGCATTCCAGTGTAAGCAGCCTGTGTTTAAGATCAGGTAGATGCCTAGTGAAGGACGATAAGATTGTACCACCAAGGTCACCCCTTTCCAGCTTTTAAAAGCACTGAATGTTGCTCTTGTAAATGGGACTTTAAGCTCCCTAAGGCTTCTTCTGACAGAGCTATGTTTGCATTTGTGTTACTTTAATTTCTTTGGATAAAAGCATTGAGACTTATATTTAAGATTCAGATGGAAGCAGAACATAAAAATAATGTTTTAGGAATGCAAAATGAGTAACACTAGTCAAGATGTCACACCTCTGCTTTCTTAAAAATTGAGTCTTGCATAAAAAGCGTTCTATTTGCCATTGAATTTTAAAAAGGTGTCGGGAGCTCAGACAATTCAATAGTCTTACATTTTCAGACAATTTCTGATTATTAGTATATTTTACAACCAACAATAAAGGCAATCATTGTAAGTAACTTTTTGCATCATTAATATCTTCCTAAGATAAAAGAATATCATGCTACAATACTAACTATATTAAACTGCAATACAAAAACGAGCAATCTAAAACATTGCATAAAAGCAAATAACAGAATTAGCTTTCATAGATAATTTAGTTCCATTACCAGCGCATTAGGATAGGAGTGAAATTCACGTAACTTAGATGGGCACCTTCTGGCCAGTGCTATGTATGGCTTTATGGCTTCAGCTTACTTTTAACTCTGAGAAAACAGAAGTCAAAAGCCAGTGCAAGATACTAGTGACATCTCTTCCACCATTAAGGGGACATGACAATTGATCCTCAAGGCTTTGTCGCCTGAGTCTTCCACGCAAATTGACGGCACACAAAATATCCTGAAGATCTGTATCCTGAAGATCTGATAGCTGAACCTTTCAAGGCAGCTGTGTGGCCCTTCCATCAAAAAGAGAGGCTACTGCCAAGCCTGCCAATATCTTCACAAAGTCTTAGAACTCAGGAAAAGTCAGGTTAATTTAAATAAAGTCAACAAACCTCATGACAAAGTGTTGAAGACCTTGGCATCCACTTCTGTAAGAAACTGGAGCAATTAAAAAAGCAAATTAAGTAAAGCAGACACAGTTTTAGTACATCCTTGGGAATTTTTTTCTGAATGCCAAAGAAGAAAAAAGTGCCTAAGCACAAGGAAAATACACTTAAGTATCAGCAAAAAACAAATCTGGAAAATATTTTTTAAAAATCACGGATCACACTTAGAAAAGGAAGGTGACTCTGACAGTAAAATATATCATATGCTGGGACAGTTCAAGTTTGGGGTGATTTAAGCATCATTTTATGCCTTGAACTGTTACACCAAGATCTACTTAGTCCTGGTTCTCATATTTTTTAATTGTGTTTAAGATCCGTAACCCAAAATAGCTAGCAGCATGTTACTCAGATTTCCTGGAATTACAGATCAACAGAGCTAGAAGATATTCAAGATGATCTGTTTCAACACCTATTTATAGAGGAGTGTCCTGAGATCCAGACAGGATGAAGGTCACGCAGTGGCGTTGTGAAAACTAGGGCCTAGATTCCTTGATTCTTAATTTACTGAATTTTAGTTGTGATTTAAAATAACAATAGTTTGAAAAATTTTGAGATTGGTTACAGCAGTCATTCCTTACATTGTTTGCTACTCTAGGTGAAAAAAGTAACCAAAGTGGAAAAATAAGATGATACAGAAATATCTCCCACCCCTGAAAAAAGAAAAAAGACCCTCAGTAAACAAAAAGATTCATATCCCTCTTTTGCCCTAAATTGTCAAATGTGTTGCCTAAATTCTCCATTTCCTTTTAGTGCTATAGCCTAAATTAGAAGCATTTTCTTCCTTAAATGAAAACACGTTTCGCAGGTTTATAACCTGACCCTACGCATAATCCCAAATCTCAGTGGTTTAAAACAAAAAGGGATTTCTCAGCCATGCTGAAGTGTATTCTGCTTCAGCAGGGGGCACTGCACATTGTTATCATTCAGGGACACGAGCTGGTGGAGCAGCTGCCATAGACGGGTCCCCAGCGGATGTTGCCCGTGGTTTAAATACTCCCCCTCAGAAACGACACCCAATTCTGCTCCCAGGTCACTGGTCAAACTGGCTGCATGATCCCAGTACAACCAGATGGGGGCAAGGACATGCCATACTTAAGGCAGACAGCCAGAAACATTTGGAGAAGAGCATTACCACCACACCTTATATTTTCTGAAACATGAAAAACTGAATATTGACCTTCTCTGAATGAATATACAAGTTTATTAAGTACCTGTATTTATCATAAGCAGAAAGAAGCTAAAAAGAATGTCCCTAAGAAACAAGAACTGTCAGCAATAGCCTTTGTTCAACGATCAGATAACCAATGAGCCTGGCAAGCCACGTCAGTTTCCACATTTGTAAAATAACAAGGGAGGAAGGATGACCCCTAAGGTATAAGGATGACCCCTAAGGTATAAGGATGACCCCTAAGGTATAAGGATGACTCCTAAGGTATAAGATGACCCCTAAGGTATAAGGATGACCCCTAAGGTATAAGGATGACTCCTAAGGTATAAGATGACCCCTAAGGTATAAGGATGACCCCTAAGGTATAAGGATGACCCCTAAGGTATAAGGATGACTCCTAAGGTATAAGATGACCCCTAAGGTATAAGGATGACCCCTAAGGTATAAGGATGACTCCTAAGGTATAAGATGACCCCTAAGGTATAAGGATGACCCCTAAGGTATAAGGATGACTCCTAAGGTATAAGATGACCCCTAAGGTATAAGGATGACCCCTAAGGTATAAGGATGACCCCTAAGGTATAAGGATGACTCCTAAGGTATAAGATGACCCCTAAGGTATAAGGATGACCCCTAAGGTATAAGGATGACTCCTAAGGTATAAGATGACCCCTAAGGTATAAGGATGACTACTCCAGCCGTATAAGACCTACGGTCCTAACTCCCTGAGTTTATGTGGATGTATGCGAGGCCATCTCCTGCTGCATTAATGCTAACATCAAGATATATTCTCTTGAAAAATGCAACATTCAAACATACAACTTGTAATTTCAAAAAAACATACAGAAATGGTGATGACTTGGTTGTTCTTTCTGTTCTGCTTTTTCCACACGGCCACAGGAACTGTGGCATGCCGCTTCCACAGGGTTTACCCCGAGGACTCCTACACCAGCATCTGGGAGTAGCTGTCCAAGCCACAGCCGGTTTCCTGCTCTGCCTAGATGCCCAATATTTGTTCTGTTTATTTCTCTCTGCTTTCACTCGCCCCTTTCCTTACTGGGTGGAGAGAATTCTAAATTCCGCCCAGCAGTAATGTAGCCTTGTACTTCCTTCTTACACGGCTCAGCGCATGACATTTCACCTCCACCAGGTGATACGGACACTCATAACTTACTCGTGGTCATCAGGAATGAGCTTAATAGAAAAAACAATGTTCTTGTTTTACATAATAAGGAAAGATACCAGTATAGGCTCCTGATGTGAAATCAGAACTATGGGTCCCTTTTAAAAGTGAATTTGTTTTAATAAAAGACAGATTATAAAAGCAAGTCACCTGAACCCAAAATATTTAATTTGGATCCTATGGTATTAAACATCTTGATCTGTGCTGTTAAGGAGGCTGAATCTGGTACCTCATAAATGAAAAGAGATCCCCGGTTAGCTACTAATCAGCTGTGAGGATGGTCTCAACTTCATGTACGATGAAGTGAACTACATGCTTTTCACACAGATGAGAGATCCCTCCGTGGGGTTTTCCAATTATCCAGTGTACAGAGAAGACAGTCTTGTTGCTTTCCTGTTGTCTCCAAGAGCCTGCTTTACCCATCAAAAAAGAGCAAACTTTTATACCTGCATGAACCTCAAGATGTGGGAAATCAGGTTTCAGAGTCATTGAACATGACCAGGGTGGGAGAACGATACCAAGTCATAAACTGTACATGTTGTTAATCAGATGTATATGAAGGTAAAATAAGCTTAGTGGGTTTAATAACAGTTCTTTTCCTGGCCGGCGCTAAGCCTGGTCCTGTGGGAGCGGTAGGGACTCCAATGTGGCCCCCAGCATCAGTCCCAGCGGCTCTGCCTGCTCTCTGCCTACTGCAGCTGCTGGCAACTAACTTGAATTATTATCATTAGAGAGCTTCTCACCATTTCTGGACCCAAAACACAGTGCAGAGCATTGTTCATTCATCTACATTATAGAAACACAGAGATTTGGTTTGAAAATAAAGGTCTACCTAAAGCCCCAAGTCAGTAAACCAGAAACTACATTGCAAGTTGATGGTGGTAAAATATGAGCTCAGAAGGAACCAGAGAAATAGAACCATTAAGGCTTAAATTTTCCAATTACCTAAGTTAACCAAGGCTATCTTACATTAGAAGCGTTTTTCTTCCTTCCAAGAAAACTCATCTACACAAGGGGTTAGACTAGAGCAATGATTCTTAACCTGAAGAGGACATCAGATTGCCTAGGAAATTCTTCCAAACACACATACTCACCCACATCTCAGACCTGAATCACCAGGCAGCATGTTTAGTTTGAAAATGTTCCACAGAAGGATTCTGATACATACCTTTAGTTTGTGAATTCTAATCACTGAAGGCCCTTCCAGGCGTAAACTCTACATTAATAAATGCGTTAAAGAAAAAAGGGCTTTGCAGAGTTGAATCAGTAAGGTTCTGCCAACAATAATAATTACTTGGTCACATGGCGACGTTGTAGTGAAAGAGCCACTGCACCAGGTCTGTCTCCACCTCAGGGTACAGTTGCTGAGAAGGGTTTAATACTGGATTTGCACTTCACACGAAGTCTTCTGGAGAGAAGGGGAGTCAGCATCGAACCAAGTTCAGATTTTTGCTTCTTCATTCCTAGCTGGGTAATTAAACTCGCACTAATTACTGAACTTCAAACTTTCTGAGCCTCATGGGAATTTATATATATTCCCATACAAAAAATGGGAATGAGAATCTCTCTCCCTTCTGCACAGTGCCCCAGGTGAGCCTGGCTCAGCATAGGCGGTGGGTAAATGCACCTTCCAAACCTATCACACTTCCTTCTGCTTCGGTCTCATTTCTCTAAAGATCAGCTTTTTCCTATGTTTTAAAAGGCTTTTCTCATTATGAAACCAATAAAACGTTTCGATTCAAAGGGAAAACCCTTTGTGTTAGTGTTAGTGTTCTTCATGCCAGTGATGGAAATGTATATTACAGATGGATGAACTATGACACCCAATAATCTGCAAACCTCAGTTTATTTCTCTTTCCTAAACCACACACCTCCCTTTTGTTATTTCTATTTCCAAGTCAAATCCCCTACTTTTCTAAATAGAAGCCCTAGGGCTGGTTGCTTCATCTTTGAGGCCATAGTTGTGTAAAGCAGGCATGCTAATATCTTCACTATTTACTTCACAACGTTCTGAGATCCAAATGGGATCACGTATATCAAAGTTATTTAACATTAATGCTACGCAAACAAAAAGGCCCGCCATTGTACAGCAACTCTGAACGGCCTTTCACCAGGCTTCTCAGATACGACAGATTTAACTGTCTTCCACTCTCATTTTCTTCCTTGGCTCCCATATCATAGGGAGATGGTAAAAGCAAAAACAAAACTAACCAGGTAAATGTGAAAAAGGCTTCTTTCCCTGATGAATACATTGATCTGTAACCACAACACCCTGCATGACTTCCAACCTCAATAATGGATACCCAGTTTGTTTTTCACATATGTATTTCACTTTAGTGAATCACTTACTGAGGCTTTTTTATTTCCCACAACCTCTCTAATGTGCCTCAGAATAGTTCTGTAAAATCATAAATATGCATATTTAAGACTTAATTTTAAATGTTTTCCAATACTTGAAACCATGAAAAATGAATCGCACAGTTTTCTAAAATGAGAAAATGTTGACATAGGGTGCTATCTAAGCACACCAGAATGACTAAGGATAACACAGAGGACAGCACAGCCCAGAAATCCCTAATGTATTTTAAGATTTGCCTATTCAGGCTTGGTTGATTTGGGGATGAATACATCCTTAGATTCTTTTATCATTTGACATGTGGAGCCAGGCATCTATTTTTTAATTAAAAGAATGAATAAATTTTCACAATAATGTTCCAAAAATCCCTTAAAGTTGAGAGTACATGAAACCAAGGGGATGTGACGCTGCCCCAAAGGGTGCAGTCCAGAGTTCCCGCCAAAAGCCCACCAGGCCCCTCCGGGAATTTAACATGTCTGCTGTCTGCTGTGACTTTTACCATATATATCCTGGCAACGACGATCACTCAACTCACCTGACGGCTGCTGCCTACGTTAGCACCCACGTCAAGGAACAGACCGAGTTCCAGACCTTCCTTCTTCCCACTGACAACGTTACCGATCCCGATTCTGGCGTGCATCCAATAACAAAAGCACATGTGTTAGTTTAGCTGGCTGCTCTGTTAGCTGCTCTTTTCACCTAATGTTTCAAATAGTTTTAGTTACACGTATTTTGAGTAATTTTGATAAATGCATATTTATAATTCTGAACTATAGTAAATTAAGACTAAACTCATAAATTAAAATATTAAAACAACTGAGCTATTCCATTAAGTTTGTTACTTTATATTCACTATGTTATTGAGTTAAATAAGAGTAATTAAAAAGTTCAACTAAATTAAAACTATAATGATTAGATAATTTTCTCTTGGTTATTGAGCAAGCCAAGAATAATACTTAGTAATACAAAACCTATAAGTAAATTTAACGGTAAGTCTGTGGTACTAATATTTTAATTGCAACATTTCAGTAGCACATCAAAGTCTCAAATGAATGGTAACATATAAACCAGATTCATAAACGAAGGGACCCAAAGTTGTAAATACATAAATTGTCTCCAGAGTAATCTATGGATTCAAGGAACTCCAATAAAAAATAAAATGGAAATTTGGGGGGATAGGTCACAAGGTAAATATGAGGACTTAGAGTCAATAAGGCACACTGAGGTGATCTGGGAAGGCCCCCTATCCTCACCCCACACCCTTTTGTGCCAACACATACAAGCCCTGGATTGAATAGAACAAATTAGTTCTAAATGCATAGCTAGGCAAAAAGCAGGAAAGGGAAACCTCCCAGAAACAAAAAGGAAGCTCAAAACTCAATGGTGATTAGGAAGTGAAGACCTAGTAGTAATATGAGAATAGGATATTCGCCTTGGCGGGTGGAATTGACCACCACGTGCATCTGGAATTAAGCACCTCCCATGAAGTCAGGAAGGTGGAAGGACTAGGAAGTCTCCATCCTCCCAAAGGGAAGCAGTACAAAAGCACGCCACTGGCTCCGGGCTAGAGACGGAAAACGAGTTGGCAATGCGGAAACTAGAGCCTTCAGCCTGCTGGACGCACAGGCAAAGGGCTCAAGGGCGCTCCAGCTACACAGCATTGGAAACCAGATCCCAGCCTCTGGGAACACGCAGATCTCAACAAAAGAAATGCAAAACTGTCTCCTGGCAACACCTCCACAGCCCAGGACACGTGAAACTCACATGCTGAACCCACAGTCGAAGATGATAAGGCAAACGCCACCAAGACAGGGGATCAGCCGGGGAATCAGATGCAGAATTTACTCCACAAAAAGAACAGATAATAGGGTACCCTGCAAATGATAATGCTTTCTAACTATTTGACAAGACAAAGTCTGAAATAGAACATATCTGTCAAGAACAGACATTATGAAGTAAAAGAACGAGATTTCAAAAGAACCACACAGAGATCTAGCATTTAAAAAATCATTAATGAAAAAAATAAGTAGACCATTTTAATACACTGTTTACATTTTGTTGTCTCCTCTCCCCCTGGGGAGGAGTCGAATCCTCTAGCTCTCGATGTTCGGCTTGGCCCCTGACTTGTCTTGGTCACTTTTCTAAGTGACCGGCTGTAATCAGAGGCTTTACGAGACACAGCCCACCTGCGTGGCTGCAGAACCTCACGTCCCAGGCGGGGCTGTCTCCTCCTTCGGCCTGTGTCTCGGAATGAGAAGGCACATGGGGCAGCCGAACGTGACCCAGCCCTGGGGCAGAGACACCGCCCCCAGCCTGCAGCCACTGACGGGCAACGTGTGCTCTAAGCCACGGAGACTTTAAGGCTGTGTGTCACACTGCATTACCGAAGCAACACTGGTCCGTGCAGCCAGCTGAGGGGAGAGTCGGCGAAGTGAGAGAGAAGGCTGAAGAAAGCCCAGGACACGACACAGAGAGTCAAGTTCAGTGGAAAACACAGACGTGAAGAGACGTGAGGACAGGAAAAGACTCAGCAGATGCTTGTAATGACTTTAAGAGTACAGACTAGAGAAAATGGGGGATGTATTTGTTGTTTGTCGCTGTGAGGCAATTTACCACAAACTCAGGAGCTGCTCAAGCCCGCGCACGGGACCCTGTTCTTCAAAGCCAGTGGTCCCCTCCCGTCCATGTCACGTGACACATCATAAGAGCACCCCTTCCCGCCCACAGGCTCCAGACGCACTCACGAGGAAGGGGTTTACAGGAATGCACACCAGGGAGCAGAATCTTGGGCAACCTCTTAAAATTTTGCCTACCATGGGTTAAAAGCAATATCAGAAGACGTAATAGGCTTCGGCACTTTCATTCTTACCCCGCACTAAAGAAATCGCACGCAACTCCCAGCAGAGCACCGCAGAGACGTGGCACTGCCCTCACGGTCCTCCTGGGAGCCGTGGCAGGCTGGCTCGCATCCCTGTGCCACTCAACAGGTTTCCTCCACCTCTGTAGGTCCATCTGACATCTTACCTCTGGATCCAAGATCCCACTTCCATGGAATAAGCTGCACTTGTAGTCTGGCAACGTAAATACTTTGTGTGTGACTCGCATGGATTCTTCAAGTTGCCTTTTCAACCTTTAAGAACAATTAATAGAAAAGTTATTTAGATTGTCCCCTTGTCCTTCCTTTATCATTAAAAGACTTTGATTGAATAGCATTGCAAATTCAGGGAAAATAATATCAAAGCTGATAGTTTATAGCCCTTTCAAAATCCCCAAAAGCTGAACAGAGAAATCCCTTAGCATTCATCTTTATTCTTGAGTTTATTGGCTTATGGGCACCATCTTTATTGTTTCACAGGAACATAGACTTTTTTTTAAATCAATGTCATAAAACAAATGGTGAACAATTAATCTTAGCCATTTATTGCTTCTGTGAGTCTCTGGAAACAGAAGAGGGAAAATGTCTTATATGCTTAGTACACAAAGGCAATATTGCAGATCATTTTCTCAGCTGCAGAACAGACTGCAAATCTCATTTTAAAATTACCTAATGTATACTTTAATTGATTAATTAAAAGTCTCCAAGCATCATTTTAAGAAATGAAGAGAGCTACTGTGAATATTTCCGAGTAAGTTTAATTCCTGTAACAGCCATCTCTGCCCTTCCCTTCTACCCTCTTGCCAATTACGTGTTATTGACAGACAGAAGATAGTTTTGTATGTGTGACCCTTATGGGGTGTAATCAGAAATGACTTTATGTTTCCTCCATCGTCTCTCTAAGTATGTGGGACTAGTTCTTCCCTAGTCCTTAGATGTAATTTAGGACAGTTATCTTGACTTCTCTAGTCACTCTTAAATAATGAAGACACTTAAGTCACTCTAAATCCAAAATATCAATCCTGTTCTGTAATTAATGCACCCAATCTAACGTGCTAATCTAACACTCAAACTTTTCCAACTTCACATAAAGTTAAACTCTCTCCTTCAGCTCTGGCCTACTGAAGACTTGCCCACTTGCACTGGGAAGTAGTCAGGGAAAGATTACTCTCTCTAGCCAGATTGCTAATCAAGGTTATCCCACTTTCTGTTACAAAAATGAGGCTGAGGTTGTGAGAAGAGGTCTCAGGGAAGTTCCTCCTTGATTAGCACAGATATAATGATCTAATGCTGGTGATCTGTGAGCTTGGTGGGTATTTAAAGTTTACTTCTTCTCTTGAGCAGGAGTTAGGATGGTGGTGAGGGGGATGGAGGGTTGAGAGGTGAAGAACCTCAACTCCATCCTATCACTGGGGATCTTTCACCTACAGATCCTCTTTTGCAAATGGTTACTTATGCCTCTTTCCTCAGTTTACCCTGCTGGGGTCCAGGTGGCCTTCTTACACATGATCTGCATGACCCCAGGCTAGCTCACTCTCCAGCATGAATGACCTCTGGTCCGTGAGGTCGGACCAAACACTGTGCTCTGTGCTTCATCAGACTATGGGATGATGCAGTTGCACCTCATCTGACCCACCATTGGAGGAGCAGGCCAGCCAGTCTCTTGTCCTGTAGATTTTGCAGGCATGAACCTCTGACCCACTGTGCCACCCAATCCATGGGAGATGCCCATGAAGCTCTCCAAGTAGTCTAACACCCCTATTCCCAGACTTGAGTTGAAGGGGAAGGCCCCTCACACTCCTCCCTCACAGTGGCAGGAGTGGGAACCCAAGCCAACCACCAGGTCTCTAAGAATTGTCTCCTACATCATATTTTCTTGGTCTTTCCAGCCTCATTCTATCAACTGGAGGCGGCTGGTGAGCGAACCACGAACAAGGCTAAACTGCTTCCTGATCCAAGTCAATACTGTGTTCTTACTCCTGACTTTGGACTGTGACCTTTACTGTCTTGAGCCACAGCTAAAACTAAAAAGGCTCCATGTGAACATCTTGTGACATGTGTACTCATATTTCTATCAACTGGCTCATTTTTTTTTTCCAGTAGAAAATATACTATAATCTGTTAGCTCACAAACTTCCACAAGCAAGGACTGAACTTCCAAGAGTTAAATAATTGCAGAAGCAAAGGTTTAAGCACCAACCATGAAGGATGGAATGACAATGTCTAACGTGGGGGCCTCACTAGGAGTGCACACAGCAGGGGTCAAGGACACAGTGAGAGCTCCCGACATGCATGACCTACCGCACGCTGGACTGAGCCCTGGGGTTTTATCCCCGCCCTGCTCCTCCTCTATGACAGTGCCGTGCAGTGCAAGTCACCCCGGGAGTCACCTTAGATTCTTCCCTCTCTCCCACCTGCCATATCCAATCCGTCACCAAGTCCTATTAATGCTATTTATAAATCACCCCTCCTCCTTAGCCCCTCCTCCCAACCCCTCTGTCACTGTTTTTATTCAGGTCCTCATTAACTCTTACTGTGTTTGTTTTGAGATGGGTGAGGGGAGCATGCTTACATGCTGATGGAAAAAAGTCAGTAGAGAAGAAGAGATTGAAAATATTTCAGAGAGAAGAAAACTGGCGAAGCCGTATCTCCAAAGGAGGGAGAATGACGGAACCTTGAACCCAGAAGGGAAAGTAAATGTTGGACAGGAAAAGAAAAACCTCATCACCACAGATACTGACTCTCATAAAGCTGAATTTATTCAACTTTTCAAGGTTAATATTATCTTTTCCAAAATAAGTAAATATTAGATGGCAGTATTTTTAATGTCCTTACTTGGAAAAAAATAAAACTTGGCAAACTTTCAGTCCCTAGTGTTTTGTTTTTTGAAATTTTGGTATTCCTTCAAATCTAAAGCCAACTCCACAATCTTAGGTACCACTACCGACCTATCTGTCTTCTTTCCTATCTTGTCCCTTTGCCCCAAGGGAGAAACATTGTTTTTGTTGACTGTTTACACCCTCCTCTCTTCCTTAGGTGATGAAAGGTTACCCTGCAGTCTTCCTTCTGTGTGCATCTCTCTTCTGAAAGTGCCCGGGCACACCAGCCCGACTGCCAGACCCCGTGGCAGCTTCTCTGTTCTCTTCATCTCAAATTTCTAAATCCCCTTTGATTCTCCAATGTCGCTGTCGTCTGATCTTTGTCCTTCGCTCTGGCCACCCCTGCTCAGTCTCCTTCTGTTGGCTTTTTGTCTCTGTCCTCAGGCTCCCCTACTGAAGGCCTCTTCTTGCTTCACACCCTCCCAGGACCATCTCATCCACGCCTCTACCATCACCTGCGTTCTGAGCATCTCCGTATAATTACAGCTCGGGGAATCTGCACCACGCCATTAGGCACATAGTACCTTCTGCAGGTGAAGGAAGTGAGGTTAAGAAAACCAGAGTAATTTGCAAAGTTCCCATTATTAGTATTAAGGAATGTATTCAACCCCCAATCATCCAAATTCAAAAGCCATGGTCCCTTGACTTTAAATCAACAGTTTAAAGCATAAAGTAAGATAATGAATAAAAATGTTTGAAAACTGTATAAAAAGTTGTATGAAAATGTTGTAAAACATTCTATTTTAATGATGCTCAGGCATTGTATACCGAAGAAAATTTTATAAGGAGCCAAAGCTCTCTTCTGCCTTCTGCTCTCTCCCTTCTCTCTGAGATGGTAAAGTACATCAGAGCCATTTCAACATTTTGATTCCCTTTCACAGTCCACAGAGTCAGCCAGGTGTCCACACCACAGATACGGGACCCAGCTTAAGTGCTGCTTCTGGACTAACAGGGATTACTGCTCAAAGGGGGAGCAAATGGACAAAAACAAACAAACAAACAAAAACCCCACTAGGTCTATGAAAAGACTATGTTCTAGGGAATTACCATAAGTGGTGACTACTGAAATAGAGGTGCTGCACAGTAGAAACTTCTGCAGATTCTCTATTTAGTGGACTCAGCAAGGTGTCAGAGGACAGCATAGCTACGGCACCAAGGCGGGTGATCATAAAACAGGAAGGACCTGCAATTAGGAGAGATAACTTGGATACCAAGAATTTCATGGCCAAATAAAAAGCTGCAATGGAGGGAGTAACAGATTAGAAACGACTGAAAAATATAATCAAAGCAGACAATAAGCTGAGACGTTCTGCCAATATTGAGAGAAAAGGCAGAAAGATTAAATTTGTTAAATAAAAAGGAGATATGGGAGATGAATACATAGAAGCATATATAATTCCCCAAAGAAAAACATTAATAAAGAAATAATCAGAAAAAAATAATTGAATACTGAGATGCAAGAGAGATTTTAAGTCTTCAAATTTATACTCCTCAAAGAGTACCAGGAAAAATTAATAAAATATAGATTATCACCATGATATGGTCTGGTAAAAAAATTTTAGTATTAGAGAGAAGAAAACAATTCCTTAAGCATCCAGACAGAAAAACAGATTTCCTACAAAAGAAGAGCAATCAGACAGACCTCAGACTTCTCATCTGCAACCCTGATTGCCAGAATTCAATCAGGCAACACCTAGAGACCATGACGTGAAGACCAGGACCCTCACGTAAAGCAAGAAAGAACAAAGAGTATTCTTATCTATACAGCACTTCCTAGAATCAATTTCTCAAAAACCTTCTCAACCACACATGGCTTCCGAAAAACTTTATTTGAATTTATCCTCAAATTTGTTATGATATGAATTTAAGGATGAAGGAATTTTAATATTACTAAACTGGTATAAGCAGTAAAACAACCTAGCCAGCGTCAAGTCTAAGTAAAGTTGGTCAGTATGGGTAAAAACCCTTAAGGAAAATGTCAAAAGTAAGTCTTTACCTATAAAACAAATTTCAGCATTCATTAATAATAATAAATTTGAATTGAATAATCCTAAATTACATCAACAAAAACTAGGAAATGGAAGTGGAGAAAGAAGTAGGAAATGTGTCATATTTCTCACATTACAGAAAGATGTTAGTAAATAACCATTTCCTCCTGGCATTAGTTAGGAAAAACTAATATTAAATATTAAATATATATTAAAAACAAGCTCAATATATATATATCAAAAAACAAAAGTCTTAAAAGCAGCAATCATTTGCTTTTTAAAAATATGATCTATGACTTTTAATCTATCAGAAAAGTGAGCAAATATAGTCCAGATAGCTACAGAAAAATGTTGAATAGCATGGGCAATTCTTAAAATGTATTGTTAAATTTTTTACAAGTAAATAAAAAAACACACAGGAAAAAAATGTGAATTCTATACAACATTCATACACGTATGTGTTCACATATATACTTAAAAACTTGTAAAAGTCACGTCAAAATGTGGTTTCTCTGGGTGGCGGGATTAGAGGTGATTCTGATATTCATCTTTATACTCCTCTATATTTTCTAAAACCAAAATGTACCATTAGTCAATTGTTTGACATGGTCCTTAACTTTTTTCATCAGCCTGCTTATAAACTTAAATAGATTCATATACAATATATACACAATACTCCAAACTCTTACGTCTTTCTGCCCACATGGTTTCCCAGAAAACATTTAAGTAGTGATAAAGTACCAAAGCATGCATGGAGAGTGCTATTTTAAAAAGAAAAAGTCTGTTTTAATTAAATATTATGGAAAAGAAGGATTACGTTACAAGAACTTTCTTGAGAACTTAAAGCCAGATGTCATGAGGCACTTCTGCTCTCTCTAGAAGGAGGCGCAGGTGAGGCAGGTGAGGAGGCAGGCAAACCCCCTGCCTGAGTTGCTGCAGCAACATTCCCTACCTCCAGACCTGGAAGCTGGGCTGTGCCGAGGATGCGGCCGAAGAACAACCGCCGTACATGCCAGAGCTGGTGGTGGAGCCTTTCGAAGATTCATGAAGGTTTACCATGAACCAATTTGGAGAAAAACCTCTGCCTTTGAGGATATGGAAAAAAGCTGCAATGGAAGAACAGTGGGAAAAGAGAAAGAAAGGCCGCTACAGGTGCAAAGGCTCTATCCTGAGGTAGAAGCTTCGAAATGAAACTTGAAGGCATTACCTCTTCACCTTTTTGTGCAAAAGGCTTAATGTCAATCAAGGAGAATAAGTAACAAAAGCCAAAAGAAGCCAGTTAAATTGTACAGGCTCATGAGACTAAAGGTAAAACTTTCACTGCTAAATAGTTATACTTGTGTCAGATTCAGGAAGAAATATTCTTTCTAAGGCAACAAGTCCCAACCCTATCAGATTAATGCTCATTTTTATAACAAATATTTTGTAAGTGATCCCTTTAATATCTTGAAATGAAATTCATAGAAATATAGCCTAATTACAAACACACTTTCAAAACCAAACAAATGTAATATCCTAACTAATATAGAGGAGACATAAAGGAAAGTCAATAGTGATGCACAATTTAATTTGTAAGTGCTGTGCCAGGATGACACTAGAAGACAGACTTCCTAAAAGCCTTGAAGGAAAAGGCACCATGCAACAGAGAATCACTTGCAGAGAGCAGTGGAAAGTGTGGCAAGTTATTTGCAGTATAGCTGTCTTATGAACTATCAAATTTCATGAAATAATAAAGAAAATGTATTTTTAAAGACATCTTGCTTATTGAGGATTAATTCCACTTTGGGACACATTTTAAATTGTCTTTAATCATTAGATCAATGTAAGAATGTTGAGCTCCACACACCAAATCCATCTAAACTGAAATATAAAAACATAGACTTTATAAAGTCTTTACAGAATTAGGCAATTTGTCAGATCCCAAAATGAACATACGCTCCTCTAGAGCTTTTCAATCAGCAGTTTGCATTCATCAGGGAAGCAGTGTGGGGTGTTGAAAGTGGTATCTGTCCTTGGTCAAGACAGATCCTAACTTCTCTGAATCACCGGTCTGAAGAAAGCTATATAGTCATAGCTACCTGTTAAGGCTGGGAAGATATTTTTTTAATGTCCATAAATACAGAAAAAATGAAAGTTCCTAGGGCCATGATTCTCACCTGACCCTGATTGGCTTGCCCGCTGTGCACATGTGGGTAATACGTTATTACTGACTCTATATAAAAGAGATCCACCCAGCACTCTGGGCAGAGGCAGAGACAGAGACAGAGACAGAGAGACAGAGAGACAGAGGAGGATTAAAACCCACAGACTGTTGGATGCAGACATGATTCTAACACTTGACCTGCCACCATGGGAATTAAGTTGGGTATAAATCCTTCCATCCCAGGAATGTTCCATTGTCATTATTCGGTCTCACCAAATCAAGAGTGAACTTGCCCACTGGCAAGAGGTAAAGTGTCTCAATCAACAAATGGCAGCAAGTTGCAGCACCAGCAAGATATTTCCCTAGATTCCATGTGATTTTTTAAGACTGGCTCCAATCCTTTTTAGTGCCTATGGGTCAGAGCAACATTTTTACCACTAGTGACAAAGAAACAAAAAAGTCTCAACGTTAGGATCTTGGGAAGATAGATCTTTAAGAAAGGAGATCATAAAAGACAGAAACATCTAAAAGTGGGACATTCAAAAATTTCATAGGGTTGTGAGGGCTAGAAACTCCAGTGATCTCTTCCTTTACTGCAGACTGAAATCTGGGGAGGCGTCTGAGGGCGAACCATTCCTGAAGGCCATGCTGGTCCAGTAAGCCAGGCTCTTCACATGCCCCACCACCATACTCCTCTCCTAACGACCCCTCTGCTTAGTATACTCCTATTCTTCTGCCAGTCAGTTGTAGTCCACACCAGTGTAATGAAAAACCTAGGATGCTAGTTCAGAATATTTTGCCACTTTTGTAAATAACCTACATTGCTTTCAAGTCATACAGATTCACTGGAAATCTGAGATTTGCAACTTCCTTTGCTGCCATTCCTAAATGGCATAATTCACTGATAATATAAATTCATTCAAATGGGCAAAACTCTCATTACTACAAGATATAAGAACTGGAAAGAAGATAAAATTTAACATCTAGTCTCAAAATTTGGATTATGGCTGTGCTTCAATACTCATCTGTCAAAAGAAATGATGAGAACCTAATGACTTCTCAAGTGCCTTCCAAGTTTAACACTCTGTGACTCCGTTATTCTACACAGTTAAATCCCTGGGAAATTAACATAGCACGATTAAGTAAGGCAATTTGTCATCCAGGCTACACTAAGGCCACTTTCTTCATGGCTAACGGCATTTCTTAGGATACTGAGCTAAAAATGTCACTGCATTCTGCGACCCATGCAAACCTGTTCTAATTGATGGGAGTGGGGGAAAAATGCAATTCAGAGTGCCAGCAATTCCTCTGCAAGCTGGCATGGCTGGGAGAATGTGGGGTCAATGAAGCATCAAGTTACAGACCAAATTAAAGGTCTGGAGAAGAATGGTGGCGGGGTCTAATCATCCATTGTCTGAGGCTGCCAGAATTGGATCCACCACCCTTACTCACTCACAAAGGACCGCTTGACGTATGCTATGCACGCAGACTAAGGGCTTCAAATCTCTTTTATTAAAAAGGCCTTCAGTTCCAAATAGATCTTTATGGAATTATTTCCTTGAAGTTTTTAGTTCTGTCATATTAAAATTTCCATGAAAAAGTAATCAAAACCCAATGTTTACAGTGTTCTGCCACAAAGAAAAATATTGTGGGTTTTGTTCCTATTAAGAATATGTGTTACATATATATACATAATTATGTAAGTCCCAGACCCAGTGTTCACACACACAAACCTTACAAAAATTATGATAATGGTTTTGCCTAAGTACTGTACTCTGTCCATAATGCCCCTCATTAAAGCCAATCCTTTGAAAAGGTCAGCAAGCAATGAATATTTCTGCATATATTGTGGCACAGGCTGCAAAAAACAGGTCTATAGGGATGAATTAAGGTCACTTTTAAAATTCAGACAATATTTTCTGGGCTTGGTCGGCTGCATCGTGTGCCTCCGCACTGTTTTTCCTAGAGGAAAGTTAATTTTAGAAAGGAAAAAAGTTTGCCAGGAAAACAATCACATTGGCTCAATACCTAGGCAGTGACTCTTAAAGTTCCAACTGCTTTACAGTCTCCTACTTGTCCTCAGAATCCTTGAAAGCAGGTACGAAATATCCTCCTATTTCATAACAAGCATCTCATTTCATAAAAAGTTGTATGATTTAATATTATACCTACTTTATGGTATGTTTAAAAAGCAGTGCTTCACCTCAATCTCCAAAAGACAAACATCTTTATTTTCCCTCGGAATTAAATTCTGAGAGTTTATTAGATATTTAGAAGGGTTCAGGTACATGTGTATTTAGATATGAAAGCAGATGTATGTCTATGTATGACAAAGAGGGAAATGGGGAAATCTGTGTAAATTCAAATACACTATCATTCACAGGCTTCCTTAGCGAACTCAAGGTAGAAGAGCTTGGTTCAAATAATTAGGAATGTAAACAAGATCTAAATTAATTTATACGATAATTCCTCATTCCAGTTTCTAGAGATAGAATCCATTTGTGTATTTAGCCTAAAAGTAACCAACGTGTAAAAATGGCCGTTATTACTGGCAGTCGGTGCCAGCACGTGAAGGGCGGTTTTCTGATTCCCACGAGAAGAGGCCGCAGTCCTTCCAAATCGCCAGAGTACTTGTGAAGGTATTCTTACTTTCTGAAGCTGATTTGAGAAGCTAACTCTTTGACAAGGGCCCTTAGAAGCTCGGTAACTGTCTCCAGCCAGAGTCTCAAATGAACAGTCAACTCCCTTCCCGAAACTGCCGTCTCAGAACCAATGACACCACACCAAAGCCATCAGAATGAAGGGCAGCAGCCGTCGCCCCGTTTGTATTCCCTGTTCCCACCGCTATTGCCAGATGACGCTTACCAACAGTTGGGTGTCCCCCCCTCCAACGAGGGCCTTACACACGGTCAGGTGACGACGAGGGGACAGCGCAGCGCAGTCACGGGAGCGCTTTTAGCTACGCGGCCCCGGCGCGCGCCCGCCCCCCCAACAGCCCGGATTCTGATTCGGGCCCTCGGCGCCCATCCCGAGCGACCGCGCTAGGCTGCCATGCAGTTCTAGCCCCGCTCACCCAGAAACCCTTGGAAACTCAGCACAGGATTCGGTTCTCGGGGCAAATAAACCCCAGAGAACCTTCAGCTATCGTCTGGCCCAGATGTAAAAGATAAGCCGGTGCACCTACCTCGAGCAGGGGGACTCTCGCGCCGACCCTCCACCCCCAAGTTAGGACGGTGCGCAGAGCGGCGGTACCCCAGCCTGGGAGGCACTGCGGACTCGGGGTGGACACGGTGCGTCGCTGTCGGCGCCACACCTGGAGAGGGTGGCGACCTCCGGGCCGCCCCCCGCCCTCTCCGCAGAGCCCGGGAGCGGGGCGCGGGAGCTGCCCGGGAAGGGGCACGAGGGAGGGCGGGCGGCGGAGCAGAAACGCGGAGGGCGAAGGACGGGGTCCCCGCGGGCGCCCGCCCGGGGCTCAGCGCGGCGCCGAGGAGCGCGGGGAGACGGCGGGGACCGCCGGGGGGGCCAGGCGGGCAGCCCGGGCGAGTCGGCACCCGCAGCGCCCTTACCTGGCTGGCGACGGGCGGGCGCGGCAGGGGCAGGGCTGCGGGAGGGCGTGCGCCCCAGCCAGGCAGCCGCCTCGGCCCCCGAGGCTCGCGCGCCCGGCCCCGCGCCTGCCGCCGCCTCCTCCCCGGCTGTTCCGGCCGCGGCGCGGGGCCCCTCCAGCCGCGCTCCCGGCGCGCGCCGCGCCTCCCCCGGGGGGCGCTCTCCTTCCGCAGGAGGCAGCGCGTGGCTCCGGAGAGCCTGGGGCTGGGCCATGTCAGAAACATCTTTGAAAATCTTTGAGCTGCTCGGTGCGTTCAAAGCGGGCATCGCTCCCGTACGTGCCCCGCTCCCGCCGGCCTCATTTGTCTCAGCCACATCACTTAACCCTCCATATTCATGCAGACAGTGCCCTGAAGAGTCTCCTGCCAGTCGCTTTAATTTTACCAAAATAGCTCCTTCCATTTTACTATTTTACATACTATTTGACCTTAGGTTGCCAGGACTTCAGATTGGCCTCGGGAAGAATATGGTGAGCCGCACAGGACAGTCGATACCTTTGCCACCATTGTCGATACCTGCCACCTGTCAGGGCCCAAAGTCAAGGCAAGAGCCATGACACCAGCCTTTGGTCAGGGACCATGCCTGGGGCCTCCCCCCTCAGCTGGGAGAGACGCAGTTCTGCTAAGTTCTGAGAGAGAACAGGTGGAGGTATTCAAAGCGAGTCCTCAACGCGAGCGAGCCAGCAATGGGAGGAGCATACTGAATAATACAGCAGGTAACAACAAGGATGGGAAGGGATCCCTGAGACGTCACTGTCTCACTAAATGCAGAAGCTGGGAGTGACATGCCCACCGGGAATGTGGAATGTGACTTGTTAAACGGCACTCCATTTATTCATTCATTCATTTACCTATCAATATGACATTTATGTATAGAGTAGTTTAGAGATGGTGTAGCATTATTCATCGTCATAACTTAAGAGATGCTTAAGTAAATGTATAACACATACTAGTTATAATAGTATATAATTTAAGTCATAGTTTAAGAGATGTAGGAGGTAACTAGAGAAGCGACCAATTTATAATTACAGACCCCTGGAAAATGCAAATACCTATCAAAGAGACTGTATTAATCCATTACCTTCTCTAACTTTATCAGATATCTTCCTAATCTGGGCTGAAAAAAAATGGGCACTTAATAGAATTGTCAGTTTTCTCTATTGGGCAGGAGGTGGGTATTGGAAAATAAGCTCAGCAAACAAGCTGTTGCAACTGAAAGGACACGCTTAGGAGAAAGGTGGGCGGAGGCAGGAGAGTGCAAAGACTCGGCCCTTCGTATTCATTCTGCCAATACTTATTGAATGCTTGCTCGTTCCAAACACTGCTAGGTACCCGGGATAGAAGAGTTCACAAGAAAGGCAACGTCCCTGACCTCACCAAGCTGAACAGAGGGATAGACTGTTAAGAGCAGATGCCCTGACCAAGGGTGGCACACTCTGTCAGGGGGCAGTTTATATGAAAACCAGAGAAAGTGGCTTTTAAACTGAGGGCTGAAGAGTGAGTGTCATTTGGCCAGAGACAGCCGAGCAGGAGGAGAAAGAGGTTCCCCGGAGGGTGCATAGCGTGGAGAACACCAACGGTAAGAAAGAACTGGGCAATCCAAGAATTTAAAGAATAGCTCATCATGGCTGGAGGATTCTTTCTTAGGGGTGGGAGTGGGACAGGTGGGAAGAATGGAGAGACAAGGCTAGAGGAGGAAACAGAGCCCAGATAATGTGGAGTCTTCTAGGCCAGCTTTTCAAATTGCCCTTTTTGCCACAGGCAATGGAGAGGTATTGAAGTGTTATAGGCAAGGTGAGGATGGGATCAGTTTTTTGCTTGGGAAAGATGACTGGCTTCAGGCAGAGAACAAAGGAGAAGGGAGGGAGGGCTGAGAGCCAGTCAGGGAGAGATGCTCTAGAGGGGCCCGTGGCCAGCGAATACCAGCGAATACCAGCGTATGGACTCATGCTCTGTAGAATCTAAGTTCGGTCCCAGGACAAGGCCCTAGAGAGAGAAACCTCCTGGAGGCAGGTGTGGCAGGAGGGGAGGCAGTGGGGCGAACAACTCAGAAACAAGGGAGGTATAGAAAAATTACAGAAAGAAAGTGGTTTGTTTGGTGGGTTTGTTTTTTTACAGAATATTTTATTGATACAGTTTATACTGTAGAAAGTTTCACCCAGGTCAAGGATAAAAAGAATGCTGGTTGTAACTGAGGAGTGGAATAAATGAAGGGAACATTTGACACACAGGAATCACTTCACTGTACATTGCAAAGTTCCTGCCGTGTGGCTGCGGACCGGCGTGCGCCCACCCCAGCTCCCCTCTACTTCTGAGACTTAATTCATTCCTAGTACCTGTCACTCCTGCCACTTCATCGTTGTATGACCTTCCTCAGTTTGAACCCATGTGTCTGAAATCAAAGTTCATGCTACTTCTACGACGACACGCTCTCTAGATTCACAAGGCCTAGCCATCTGCGGCCGCCACGGGGCGCTGGATGACCTTGCGGACACTGGTGGGCTGTAATCAGGAGAGCTGATGGAAAGCGTGAGCACTGGGGCCGCTGTGCTCCAGGCCCCAGGGCTCCCCTGCAGGGCCTCCCACCTGCCTGCCTCTGAGAACAAACGGGCAAAGGCGAAAGCAGGGGAGACGCTGGCTGACTCAGGAGGGCAGAGCCAGAGCAGGACGGCCAACATTTTACACCCAGATCACTGTCTTCGTTATTGTTTATGTTGTTTTAAGATCACTGGTTGCCTTCTCTCCCTCTCATTTCCGTTTTACTCTCCTCGATTTCCCTTCATATTTTTTCATTTCTATTTCTCCTTTCCTCTTTTTATTTGAACTGCCTCTTCACTTCTCTTTTTTCCTTCTTTCCTTTCTTCCTCTAGTCATTGATTCATTCCACAAATACTTTTGTATCTAATATTTATTTTGTATCTATATAGTATCATCTCCTATGTTACTAAGGTAAGTGCTGGATATATAAAGATGACCCAGACAAGTCCCTACTCTTGAATTCATTCTCTAGAGTCGCAAATAACAGAAATGCAGTCAAGATAACTGAAGGGGTGGGGAAAAGGGAACAGGTTAAAAGGTCATGGCTGTCCCCTGAAAGGTGGAGGCATGGGAGGCATGGATACAGACAGGCTTCCCCAATGATCTGAAACTGTGACTTAAATAAAATTATGAATCTTTGTTCTTCACTTATCCTAATTCACTTTCATCTTCATTCTTTCTCAAGTCCAAATTCCCAGGGAGGGGACTAACTTGTCTTGCTTGGGTCAGATGCCCAGGCGAGGAGGACAGGGTATGGCGGTGACAATGTGAAAACATGCCCACAAGTTCTTCACATAACGACAGCTGACCATGAATAATATGAGGGCAAGGGGTGCTGACACCCCGGATGGTTGAAAATCTACATATCTAGAGGAGTAAGCAGAGCCCAGATCATGTGGGGTTGTTTAGCCCATCTTTTAAAATTGCACTTTATTCCACAGACAGTGGGGAGGCATTGAAATGTTATAGGCAAGGTAATGATGAGATCCAATTTTTGCTTGAGAAAGATGACTGGCTGCAGACAGAAAACAAATGAGAATGGGAGGTAGGGCTGAGAGATTACGGCTTTTACTTTAGACTCTCCTAAAACTTGACTACTAAATAGCCTGCTGTTGAAAGGAAGCTATACCAATAACATAAACAGTTGGTTGACACATATTCTATGTTATATGTATTATATACTGTATTCTTACACTAATGTAAGCAAGAGAAAAGAAAATCTTTTCTCAAATTGTCACAAATCTCAAAAAGTATTCCATTATGTTTATTTTTTAAAAGCTGCATATAAGTGGATCCTCACAGTTCAAACCTGTGTTGCTCAAGGATCAACTATACATGGATGGTGGCTAACATAGGATTGGGGATGAGAATAAAAGGGTATTTAAGGAAGCTGGGAGGAAGGCAGGTCTTTAGAAAGAGTACTCCAGGCAGACAACTTAATATATTTTTCCTATAAAAGTAGATATGTAAATAATTGCAATATATTTCATGAGTACTATAATAAAGATATAAACTGTGAAAATTAACTAAGGGAAAGCTCTCCACCCTTCCTTATCCGCTAGCAACAGCCTAGCCAATGAGAGGCTGTCACGACTCATCCAATGAAAAGCCATGATATATGGGACTCTCTACTTCACCCAATGGACTTCTTGCTTAGAACAGCCCTCCCCAACCTGCCCCTTCCTTTATAGTGTTTTCCTCCAAGAGTGTACCTCTCTTCTGCTCTCCAGATTTTCCTGTGGTTTTGCCATTGTCTTCTTGTTGAGGATTGCAATTCTTTGCTACTCCCAAGTAAACTTGTTTTTGCTAGTAAATTAACAATTTTATTTTTAAGGCTAAAAGAACAAAGTACTAAAGGAATGTACTTTCTTTGCAGGGGCAGGGAAAGGCGTCTTCATTTCAGAGATGTGAGGAATGCTTCACAGAGAAGGCATTGTTTCAAGTCTTGAGTTTGCCAGGCCAACACACTAGCTAGTCTTTAGGACTAGCCTTTTGGTGAGGATAAGGCTTCAGTGAGAGGCCAGGAAGGAGTCCATTACAACAGTTAAGGAGAGAGCTGATATGGTCTGAAGGCTAAGAAGATGTGTGTGAGACATTTAGAGGTTTAGAATCCAGAGGCTTTGACGTTGGGAGTTGTGAAAGAGGGAGAGGTCAAAGAGGACTTCAAATATTCAGGCTTAGGAACAAGGTGGACCACAGAGCAATTAAATGGATCAATAAAAAGAGGAGAGATTTGCTAGAGGAGAGAATGGGTTTAGATTTTAATATGTTGAATTTCAGATACTGATGGACTACTGAGAGAAGAAATCTAATAGGCAGCTGATAAGAGTATGGTACTCAAGGAGAAATTAAGTTACTCATTTGGACTTTATTAACCCAAAGGTCTTTACCACCATGGGTATAGATGGGATCACCCAGAGAATCACGTGTAAGGGAAGAAGCAAGGGCCCAGGCGGATCACGGAAGAGCCCGACATTTGAGAGGCCAGCAGATGCAGGGTAGCCAGCAACGGCGGAGACCCAAGAGAAAGTGATGTCATGCAAGCCAAGAGAAAATGGCTTTGAAAGAAGAGGATGGTAAATAGTGCCAAATCCTGCATAGAAACTAAGTAATGTCATAGGACTATTCAAAGGAAGCCTTTCGGTTGCCTATTTGGAGATCATTATTGGTCTTTATGAGAGCAGTTTTAGTTGAGTGCTAGGAAAAGAAAGCACATTGCATTATATGAGGGTTTTTCATTCTCAGCACAGTTGATGTTGTGAGCCAGATAATTCTTTGCTGTGGGAGCTGTCCTGTGCATCATAGAACGTTTAGCAGCATCCCGGGCCTCTAGTCAAGAGATGCTTCCCAAGTTGTGACAACTAAAAATGTCTCCAGAGATTGTCCAATGTCCCCTGGGGGGCAAAATGCTCCCCCTACCTTGAGAAACACTGCATTCACTTGACATGTGGATGGGAGAGAGACACAGTAAATGTCTTTTTCAAAAAAATACATTAGGAGAGTGCATCACTTTTGAAAAATCTTTTTCTTTCCCTAATTTGCAAACATCTGTTTATTCTAAATTTAACTTTTTAAACCCAAGCTACCTATGGGAAAAGTACCCAACCAAACCTTCTCTAGCTCAACTTCAGTAAAAAAGAAGTTATAAAAAGAATTATCTTATTTATAAAAGCCTAGTTTCAAAATAAATATTTACAGGAATATTTTAGAGTTAGACATGTCTTTTTCTTTTTTTTCTATAGTGGCAGAAAGGCTCTCGGTCACTCTCCAGGGAGAGGTATTGGAGAGATGAGAGGGCATGAAAACAAGGGGCACAAGAACTCTCCTGGAGGTGATGGGCATGTTCCTCACCGTGACTGTGGTCACAGTTCCATGGTGTTTATATATACATATGTGTCAAAACTGATCAGACAGTATACTTTCATTATGTGCATTATATTACTTTGCCATGCTAATTATATCTCAGTAAATTGTAAAAAAAGATATGTTGCCTGTATGAATAGCAAGGAAAAGGAGGTGATAAAAAAGCTGGACAGGTGAGCTAGGGCTCAGATTGTCATACAATTGTTGCAGGTTTACATTTTGTCCTATGTGTGGTGAGCAACCAATTGAGATTAATCATCATGGGTATGATCTAGACATACCTGTTTTCTAAGATAATACCCCATTTTGATAATGTGGTGACAATGTTGAGGATTTCTAGCCATCCTGTAGTAGAAAACACTTTACTGCATCTCATGTTATGATTTGGCCCACAGTGATGGCCTTCAATATAATCTAAGCACTGAATGTTAGTCTATAAGCTAAAAGCCCCTGTCAACAGAGATAATCTTATATTTTATAATGAAGAAGGGATAATACCAAAGCTCTGTGCTTCTCTATTTCTTTGGTCTCATCCCCTGGAACAATTAATAAGGATGTATTAATGAACTGTGGCTATATTAATAAAGATATAAAATGAACAATTAATAAAAATATATCCATAATACTTACCAGAAGTAAAGCAAAATTAGGTACTAAGGCCTCAATTTAATAACCATTTATCCTCTGTTCTCCAACTTTTGTAAATCTCACCATTTGAGACTGATCTGACCACTGTCTCTTACTGCTTACCTTGAATAGTTTTCCCTTTGTCTGAGCTAGAATGTCCAGTGTATCAACCAACTGGATATTGTTGCATTCACATATTTTTAAACATAATCTCAAATTACTAAACCATGTACTTTGGCTAACTCTTTCTACCAAAATAGAGTATGATATCTTGTTTTAGAAAAAGCAGATGTGTCACTACATTTATACTTATGACCAGGTTTAAATAAGAATCTGGTCATCAGCTTCTTTAAGCCATGTTTATTTATTGAGTTGATATTACTGGAATGTTGTTAAATGGCATCCAGACAACAGTCTCATTTCACTAAGAACCAAACAGGATGCATTTCAGTTAAACAATATTTTCAAAGTATTTACTATATGTCAGGCACTGTGCCAAATACTGGGAGAGAATAATAAGTACATTGAACGTGGGCTCTGCCCAAGAAGCTTAGAGTCTGGGAAAGATAGATATGTGTATGTAAGAGCTAGATGTGTATGAGAAAGAGAGATGTGCATGGGTGTGTATAAAAACTTCTGAAGACAAAATGAAAAAAAAAGTTACGCTTAGTGTTTTAGAATTTGAGGGTTTTTAGAATCACGGTTTTAGAATTTCCAAAATAAAACCAGAAGGTATTTTCATACACAACCGTTCATCCTAACTGTACCTTTTCTGGTTGCAATTAACACACCCTTCTGTGCAGAGCTAGCGATGTGCAACAACTTTTCCATGCGTTGCTCCCATATTGCCTAGATTCTTTGCAGTTAGGTGGAGTCATACGACTGATCTGGCCACTGGCCAATGAGCAGAATCATAAAAGCACAGGAGTAAGTTCTCTCCTGCTCTGCTTCCCTACCACCGTGGGCACCAAGGACTCGGGTTGAGATGGTGCATCTACAAGATCAAAGTTGTCGAAAGCGAAGAGTATAACACATAAAGGGAAGCTCTGGGGAGTTCTCTGAACTGACAGAGTTCATAGAGTAAGAAATAAAGTTTTGCTGTTAGAACTGTTTAACTGATGTTAAATAAACTTTTCTGCAATAACCTGAAATAACACACTACCTCATCACATGAAACAAAAAATGTTCTTAATCTTCATAGTAAGAGTTTGGTTTGCATTCATTTGGCAAATACCTATTAACCACTTAGTGTAAGTGAGGCACTACTTCAGGTGCTGAGAATACCGTGATGAGAGAAG